CAAAGTTTCTCCACCCCTCAACCCCCGTCATAGTAGTTCAGTTTAGGAGAGTGGCAGGATACAAGATCAAGATACAAAAATCAGTGGGATTCCTCTACAATAACAAAGGAGACACAGAAAAGGAAACTAAGAAAGCAATACTATTTACAGTGTTGTTGTTAGATGTCATTGAGGTCAATATGATTTATAGTAAGCTTATGAACAACCATTCTGAAACCTGCCCAAACATGTGCCATCTGTATTATCTCTGAGACATTAGAGTCCATTGCTGAAGTCATAGTGTCAATCCATCTCATTGTGGGTCTTTCTCTCTTTTGCTGAACCATAATCTTTCCAAGCATGATGTCCCTTTCCAAAGAAAGCCTTGTTTAGCTAGATGTCCAAAGTATGAAAGATGAAGTTTGGTCATCCTTGCTTTCAATGAACTCTGACCACACTCTTTCCAAGACATATCTGTTTGGATTTTTGGCAGTCCATGGGATATTCAGTATTCTCCTTCAGCACCACAACTCAAAGGCATCAAGTCTTCTTCTGTCATGTTTAGTCATTGTTTAGCTCTCTGATTCATAGATTGAGAAGACCATGGCTTGAATCAGGTGCACCTTAGTCTTCAAACTGACATCATTGCTCTTCCATATTTTGGAGAAGTCCTTGACTGCAGACTTGCCCATTGCAATATGTCTCCTGATTTCCTGACCGCTGGTACCAAGGATAGTTGATTCAAACAAAATGAAATACTTGACAGTTTCAGTCTATCATAATGTTGACTGTTGTGGTGAGGATCTTCTTGAAGTTGAGATGTAATCTATATCAAAGGCTATAATCCTTGATTTTCTGCAGCAAGCATTCCATATTTTGCTCACTTTCAGCAAGCAAAACTGTCATCAGCATAACACAGGTTGTTGATGAGTCTTCCTCCAATCCTGATGTCACACTCCTCCTCATTGAGTCCAGATTCTCAAATTATTTTCTCAGCATACAGACTGAATAGATCAGAGATCTGCAGGCATCGACAGGTGCAGCAGCAGAGCCTTGCATTGGGTCCTGAGCAGTGGAGCAGAGGTCTGTGGGAACTGGGATAATATACCATTAACAATAGCCAACCACAAATTGAGATACCTGGAAGTAAATATCTAACTAGAGACACAAGAGACCTTTATAAAGAAAACTACAAAACACTACTATGAGAAACGATAAGAGACATAAATAAATGAAAAAATGTTTCCTGCTCATGGATAGAAAGTTCAATATAGTGAAAATTACAATCCTACTAAAAGTAATCTACCTATTTAACACAATCCAAATGCAGATACCAAATCCACTTTTCAAAGAGATAGAAAAAGCAATTAGCAAGTTTATTTGGAGAGGAAAGAGACCTCGAATAAGCAAAGGACTTCTAAAAAGCAAGAATGAAGTGAGAGGCATAGCACTCATTGATCTTAAAACCCACTACAAAAACCCAAATAAACAAAACTATACACTCAGCAACAATATCAAAGTTCAACAGGGCATTAAACCAAAAATGTTATGGAGAGATTGGAACCTCTTCTTCACTGCTGGTGGTAATTTAAAATGGTACAACCACTATGGAAGACGATCTGGCACTTTCTCAAAAAGTTGGAAATAGAAATATAATTTAATCCAGAAATTCCACTACTGGAAATATAACCTCAAGAAACCACAGCCACAACACAAATAGATGTATGCACACCCGTATTCATAGCTACATTATTCACAATAGCAGAGAAATGGAAGCAACCCAAGTGCCCATCAATAAACGAATGGATAGAAAAAACTATGGTGCACCCACACAATATAATACTACACAATATTGAAAAACAATGAAATAGTAAAACTTTGCACAATATGAGGAGCCTTGAGGATATTATGTTGAGTGAAATACTTCAGTCACGAAAGGATAAATGCTGCATAATACTACTGTTATAAAATAGGATAGACATGGGGGATTGGGGAGAAAATGGAGAAAGACTGGATAGATAATGAACACTTCATTAGAACAGATGAGGGGAAGAAATGTCTGAAAGGAATATATGATTATGCATTATATGTATGAGAACAATCTGGAACAAGGGGTATATTGCAGGATGGGCTGGGGGAGGCAGAAGGAAGGGGAGGAGAATATGTGCAACAATGAAGAAATAAAGGAGAAAATATCCCCCCAAACAAACCTACTGCACAGCTGCAATAACCAACACAGCACGGTACTGACACAATGACAGAGACAGACCAATGGAACAGAATCAAGAACCTAGAAATTAACCTATCTGGTGTTTGACAAGAAAACAAAACCTATCAAATTGGAAAATAACAGCCTCTTCAACAAATGATGCTGGAAAAACTGGACTCTATCTGCAAAAAACTAAAGCAGGATCCACATCTCATACAATACACAAAAATTAACTCAAGATGGATCAGAGATCTAGGGGTAAAGCTCCAAACCATAAAGATCATCAGACAAAATAGGACCAAACTTAGAAGGCCTAGGCTATAGAGTAAAGAGGCTGACCAAAACATCCAGAATGCATAACCAGAAGAGAATAATATCAGTGAATGGGACCTCCTAAGATTGAATCCCTGTGTGCATCAAAACCTTTTTAATAGGATGAAAAGAAAACCTACTGACTGGGAAAAAAACATCAACAGTTCTTAACTTATAGAGTGGCTGTGAGGTTTAGATGAGAAAATGAAGTTAAAGTGCTCAGTACACACTTGTTGCATGTTTATTGCTGTGTACTGTCAAGAAGGAACCAACCCATAGCTTACCCTCCAGAGGCAGTGAGTTGTGTGGGAGAAGTTTGCCCATCTGTCTCCTACGGAGCAGCTGGTGGATTTGAGCTGCATGGGATGGCAGCACAGCTCCTTACCACTAGGCCACCAAAGATCTTTTGTTAATTGTTATTACTGTTATGTGCCATTGAGTCAACTCCGATGCATAGCAACCCTAGGAACAATGATTCTGAACCTTGCCCTATCCTGAACCAGTCTCACCATCTCTGACACATTTGATCCCATTGCTACAGCTTCTATGCCAATCCATCTCATTCAAGGTCCTTCCTCTCCTACCCTGATCTTCTAACCTTCCAAGCATGATGTTTCTTCTCCAAGAAGTGGTCCCTCCTGGCAACATGCCCAATGTATATGAGATGGAGTTCCAAAATCCTTGCGCCCAAGGAGAACCTGGTTTCACCATCTCCAGGAAAGACCTGTTGTCTTGACAGTCCATGGTATGTTTAATAATCTTCTCCAGCATAACTCAAAGACATTGATTCTTCTGTTATCCTTATTCATTGTCTATCTCTAAGATGTAGAGCAAACAATTGAGAAGACTATGGCTTAGATTAGGTGAATCTTGGTCTCTGGACTGCCATCATTGCTCTTTAGCATTCTGGAGAGATCCTTGAATCCTTGACAACATATTTCTGCAGTGCAATTTGTCTTTTGATATCCTGACTGCCAGTGCCAAGAGTTGATTGTGGATTTGAGAAAGATTGTTAACCATCTCAATATTTTCCCCATCTATCAAGATAGTCTATTGGTCCAATGGTGATAATCTTTGTTTTCATCTTTTATTTATTATACTAATTTATTTATAAAATTCTAATGCATTGTTTTCCAGAACAGATTCTTCCAATTTCCTTCACCCTCACAACCCATCAAATTGTACAACCTCATTAAAAATGATTAATTCCCCCTTCCCCCTGCACATCCTCATCCCTCTTCTTCCACTCTCCCATGCCCGAATTATTTTTTTTTCTTCAATTTTATTATTTGTGTGTGTGTACCATGAAATTGGATCTGACTGGTACAGGAGGAGATTATCCCTCCTTCTCCAGCAAAGCATCTGGTGGATTCAAACTGCACACCTCTGTGATTGCAGTACAGCTTCTTGCCACTAAGCCACCAGAGCTCGCCCCTCCTTGGATTCTTATACTCATTCTACAATAATGGTTTTATATAATATTTGTCCTTGTGGGACTTAATTAGTTCACTCTGCATAATGCTCTGTAGTCCCACCCAAGTTAGGTAATAATTTACAAAATCATTGCTCATGCATGCTGCGTAGTATTCCATTGTGTGAATGTACCATAATTTCCCAATCCATTCCATATTGAAGGCTGCAGACCTTGACCTTCTGCAGCAAATGCTTTAAGTCCTCTTCAGTTTCAGTGAGAAAAGTTGTGTCATCTGCATAATGCTAGTTGCTGATGAGTCTTCCTCCAATCCTGATGCCACACTTTTCTTTTAAAGTCCAGCCTTCCAAATGATCTGCTCAGCATATAGATTGAAAAAGGTATGGAGAAAGGACACATCCCTTACAGACTTCTATTTTTTTAAATTTTGAACCATATGTTATTTTCTTGCTCTGTTCAGACAACAGCTTCTTGGTATAGTATAGTATAGTACAGTATAGTACAGTATAGTATAGTATAGTATAGTATAGTATAGTATAGTATAGTATAGTATAGTATAGTATAGTATAGTATAAGCACAATCAAGTGTTCTGGGATTCCTATTCTTCCCAACAACAGCCACAATTTGTTGTACATAGTAAGTATTCAGTAAAAAAAAAAAAAGAGTTATTCTTTCTGAAGATGGTGGGTGACAACAATGATAATTATGATGTCTTGAATCTGAGTGCACCTCTGAATTACCCGGGAAGCTCTTTAACGCTCTAAAAGCCCTGCTCACATCTCAGATAAGTTCAAGCAGACTCGTGGAAGATGGGAAGCTGGCATAAATAGTTTTCTACAACTCTCTAGTTTATTTTAATGGGTAGTAATGTTTGAGAACCACTGTTCCTTGGCATTTTCTCTAACATTTTATTTTTGTGTATTTTGTTTTGTGTTTTCTTTTGTTTTTGCACAACACATACTAAAAAACAAACTTACCAATAAAGAGGTAAGATGGGAAACAGTACTCGACACTCACCTGTGAAAATAGCCCTGGAGGGAAAGGAGCAGATATCCTTAATTCATTACCTTCCATCATCTGGACCTCCCAGTGACACCAAGTACAAGTCATTTGGCGAGAAAGCCAGAGCCTCAATTTTGCCCTTATGAAGTGACAGCCGTGCAATCAGCTCCCTTTTCTTGTAATCCCACAAAATTATGTCTGCCTGGGGGAGGAATACACTGTCAGAGCCACAGTCAGGGTGGTAGAGGAAGGTTTAAAGGGTCTGAGGTGACAGCTACCAAGCTCGGTGCAAATGAATCAGTAGCAGTCACTTCTCAGGAAATTGGATCATGTTTCATCCGTGGTAGGAAGAGAACAAAAGTATTTTTAAGCAGTAACTTTTGCTCCTGAGCATTATCAAACACAGGCTAAAAACATCTGGCATTGAAATGTCAGATTCCTTCACTCCCAGCTTGGCAGAATGAAATTATTAAGGAGAAAACTCAAGGATATGTAGAAGGAAGCAGAAATAGCATGGCCACAGGGAGCTAACAAGCTGAAGCGGGAAGTTTTTCCTATTAAACTAAATTAATTGCCATTAATTTGCCACTAACTCATCATTGACCTTCCAGCTTGTTTTCAGAGATTTCCCATCTTTCTCTCATGGAGCTGCCTTGGGGTGAGCAGTGCAACTCCCTACTCACTAGGCCATGGGACTCCCTTTTTTCCTCTATGGAGGCACCTCAGAATGAGCTCACAATGGGTTCTTTCCAATGCACCTTAAAGCCCATGAAGGTGACTTGTCCAGAGGCAATGTAGATTCCACTCTTGGAGATGGCCACACAGGAGACATTGTTCCCATGGCCATGGAGGAAATTCTGTTTCTTTGTGTTGAGTGACTGAATGAGGACTGTGCAGCCCAAAGGGTAAATGAGGTGCTCCTGGTCAGGATGACACTTCAGACCACTGGGCACGTGTCCTAAGAGAGAGAGAGAGAAGATTGAAACATAGCAACAGTCAGATGCAGGATCCATGGATTATTCCAGTTCTGTCTTGAAAATCAAAGGGAAAAGTATTAAAAAGCCTAAAATGAACCCTGGTGGTGGGGTGGGTTAAGAGCTGGACTGAAGAGAGTGCCAGGCCCCCGTGCTAAGCGTATATGTCAACTCTTGAGACCTTGATCTCCTGCCCTTCCTCATGGCCTTAAGGGCACTTACATGCCCTTTGGGCTCCCTCAGCCTAGCACCCCTGGTCCCCGCCACCTCCACTTCGAGCCTTCTCCCCGCAGTCCAGGTGATAAGCAATGCCAATGCCCTCCTCCAGCCACCTACTGCTTCAACATTGCTCCCTTACCACCCATTCCTCACCTTCACGACCCTTAATGCCAAATTTGTGTCCTGGAAGAGTCGTACCAAGTACACCGTTAAACCAGTGAAAATGAGGAAATCTGGGGGCCGAAACCACACAGGCCGCATCCAAGTGCATGACATCGGCGGGGGCCATAAGCAGTGTTACCGAATGATTGACTTTCTGCGATTCTGGCCCGTGCAGGAAACCAAGCCAGGACCTTTTGAGGAGAAGAAGGTCGTTGTTGTCCGCTATGATCCCTGTAGGTCAGCAGACATAGCTTTGGTTGCTGGAGGCAGCCAGAAACGCTGAATCATTGCCACAGAAAACACGAAAGCTGGAGATGTCAGCCTCAACTCTGACCACATAGGCCGGATAGCAGTTGCTGCGCGGGAAGGAGATGCACATCCTCTTGGAGCCCTGCCAGTGGGTACCCTCATCAACAATGTGAAGAGTGAGCCAGACCGTGGGGCCCAGTATATCAGAGCTGCAGGGACGTGTGGTGTGCTGCTTCGGAAAGTAAATGGGACAGCCATCATCCAGTTGCCTTCTAAGAGGCAGATGCAGGTGCTGCAAACATGCACAGCAACAGTGGGCCGAGTATCCAACATTGACCATAACAAACGAGTCAATGGCAAGGCTGGGCGGAACCGCTGGCTGGGCAAGAGGCCTTCCATTGGACTGTGGCACTGCAAGGGGGGGCCTGCCGGCCGAAAGATTTGGCCCCTGCCCCCCGTGAAGAGCTGTGTTAACCTGCCCTTAGTTGCTGCACAAAGCTGACTTATCTTGGACTCTAATAAAATAACACCTTTTATTTAAAAAAAAAAAAAAGAGCTGGACTGAAAGGCCAGCGGTTCAAATCCACCAGCTCTTCCTAGGGAGATGTGCAGTCAGCTTCAGTAAAGATTACAGCCTTGGCAACATGGTGGGGCAGTGCTGCTCTGTCATACAGTTAGAATCTCAACAGGCTCAATGGCAGTGGGTTTGGTTTGGGGTTTGGTTTGGTGCAACTTTAAAAGAAACTGAGGGTATCAGTTAATTCTGTTCTGTTGACAAGGAGGATGGTGTAGTAAGCTGTTGTTAGGTACCTGTCAAGTCAGGTCCCCTACTCATCGGGATTTCAGACACAGAATGCTGCCTGGTCTTATCATCCCGTGACTGGCTGTGGATTGCTTGTGATGTCTAAGGTTTTCCTTGCTGATTTTGAAAGCAGATCACCAGTCCTTTCTTCCTCATCTTTGCAGTCTGATAACACCAATGAAAGCTGTTAAGCATCATAGCGATGTGAAAGCCTGCACTGACAGATGGATCAAGTCCACTGCGCAGATATCAAACTCAGGTCTTCTACACAGAACCTGAGAATTCTACCCCTGAATTACCAATGATGCCATGTGTACTGGTCCAATTCAATGTTCTGCAAATTTTAAATGCTGCATACACTTCTTAGTTATTGTTGTTGTTGTGTACCATCAAGTTGGAACCAACCCATAGCTGACCTCCAGCAGATTTTCAGAGGCAGTAAATGCACAGGAGGAGATTGCCCATCCTGGTCCCAAAGGAGCAGCTGGTGGATTCAAATTGTGTGCAGTGCACCTTCTTGTCACTAGGCCACAAGAGCTTCCTGTTACTGTTATCATTAGGTGCCATCAAGTCAGTTCTGACCTGTAGCAACCTGATGCACAGCAGAACCAAACACTGGTGGGCTGTACACGATCCTTATAATCATTTCCTGTTTGAGTCCATTGTATGAGCTACCATGTCAATCTAACTTGTTGAGGGTCTTTCTCTTTTTCACTGACTCTTTCTCCAGGCACTGGTCTCTCTTCATTCTCCATGAGAAGAATTCTCTACATGGTCATGGTAGTAACACCTCTTGTATGGTCATCCCCAAGAGCAGACTTGGATAGTCGTGATGGATAATCATTATGACTTGGATATATATATATATATACTTGTGGATATATATATATCTCCACAGTATGAGAGATGGAGTCTCACCATCCTCATTTCTAAGGACCATTCTAGCTGTACATTTTCTTTTCTTTCTTCAAATATTTTTAAAATTTTAATTGTGATTTTAACAAAAGTTTATAGAAAAGTTATATTTTCATTCATTCATTGTTGCACATTCCTTCACCACCACCATGCCCTGCTGCACATTTTCTAAGTCAGGTTTGTCTCATTTTTCTGGCAATCCAATATTCTTCACCAGTACTGTAGTTCAATTCTTTCTCAGTCTTCCTTATTTATTGTTAAGCTTTCACCTGCTTATGAAGGAATTGAAAATATCATGGCTTGGGTCAAGGACACTTTAGTCCTCAAAGGTTCTCTTCACACTTTAAAAAGGTTGCAGCAAATTTGTCTAATGCAATACACTGCTTGATTTCCTGACTTCCATCGGCATTGGTTGTGGATCCAAATAAAACTAAATCCAAATAAAACAATCTTTTTCTTTGCACATCATGTAATTTCTTATTTATTCAGTTGTGTGGGTTATTTTTATCATGAAGTGTAACCCATATAAAAAAGGCTGTCATCTTTGATCTTAGTGTTTTGAATATCTTTACTTTTAGTAGGTAAGGTTGTGTCATCTACATACCTGCATAAAGTTATGGATAACATGAAGAAGACGGATTCTGGAACTCTCATCTGTGCACATGCTGAACCTTTATATAGACTAAGAGGCAGCTGTTCAGACAGAACAAGAGAACACTGAGTGGTTTTGAATAAAAAAAGGCTTATACTCCACCATATGTATTTAATCTGTATGCTTGATGAATCTGAAATGATTGAAATGATCTGAAAAAAGTGGACTAAATGAAGAAGAATGTGGCACCAGGATTGGAAGAGGACAAATTACTAATATACAAAATTCCTAGAAGGTCCTTTCAAAAGCCAAAATCTGATATCAGATCAGGAATGGAGCCTGAGATTCTGTATTTCTAACAAGCTTCTAGGTGATAGGATGCTGGTTTTTACAGACCAGGCTTATAGCAGCAAAGAACTAGCTAATTCTTATAACCTTAAAAAGTGACAATACCTGTGACATTCTCAGCATCTTTTCTAGGTAAGGGTAGGTAGGCATGGGTAGAATGGGAATCCATCACTTCAGGAAAGAGTTTGGTTTCAGCTCTAAGTAACCATCAGCCACTCTGAAGTGTCAAACCTCCCACAGTGAGACTCTACTTCTCAGGTAGCTCTTTGTTCTTCAGGTAGCTGCTCAGACCACGTGAACACAAATCAAACTTGTTGTTATGTGCCATCAAGTCACTTGCAACTCATAGCGACCCTATGTACAATAGCTCTGAACCCTGCTCTATCTTGAACCAACCTCATTGTCTCTGACACACCTACCTCCATTACTACAGCCACCGAGTCAATCCATCTCATCCAGGATCTTTCTCTCCTGTGCTGTCTTTCCACACTTTGAAGTATGATGTCCCTCTCCAAGGACTAGCCCCTCCTTGCAACATGCCCAAAATATGTCAGAGAGAGCTTCAAAATCCTTGCTACAAAGAGCAGCCTGGTTTCACCCTTTCTAGGACAGACCTGCTTTTTCTGCCAATGGTATATTCAATACTCTTCTGCAGCACCATAACTCAAAGGCATCAAGTCTTCTTCTATCACCCAGCAGCTGATGCGTAGCAAGTAATTGCAAAAACCATGGTCTGGATCAGGAGCACCTGAGTCTCCAGACTGACACCAATGCTCTTCAGTTCTCTAGAGAGGTCCCTGATAGTAGATTTTCCCCAATGCAATTCATCTTTTGATTTCCTGGTTGCTAGTGCCAAGAGTGTTGAGTGTGGAACCAAGCAAGCTGAAGCTGTTAATCTCAATCTCTTTGTCTGATGTTGCCAATAAGTAATGACTATAACCATGAAGCTTCGGTAGCTCCTTCGTTAGTATTCATTTGTGGTCAGAATATTCTATGTTAATTTGCATATTTCTCTTACAACATAAACTTTGAAGTCAGATTGCCTAGTTAAAAAGTCATATTTCTAACTTTATTGGGATGATACTAAATATAAGGTGATTTAAAGAGAAATTATTTTTATAAGGATATAGTTATAGCACTTTCCCTAAACAGTGTATGATGTTTGGATTAAATTTCCTTTTATATCATCCACTAGCAGTTTTTATTTTTCTTCATAAAGACCTTTTACATTTCTTATTAAGTTTATTGCTGGATATTTTTAAACTTTTTGTTCTGTTTCCTTCCCCATCAAAAGAGTCATAAAGATTGCATTCTGATTTTAAAATAGATTCTTTCTAATCCAACGATACATAAAAAAAATAATCCACCATGACCAAGTGGGATTCATAACAGGTATGCAAGGATGGTTCAACATAAGGAAAACAATCAATGTAAT